TATATGACATACTTAATAAAAGTTGAAGAGTTTTGTATAATCTATAAGAAAAAAATAATATATATATATAGGGTGTATCATTTAAAAAAATCCAGATTTTTTTATTGTAAGTAGTTGAAATTGGTAAATATATTTTGAACACCCTGTATCATTGAACTAAAATATCTTTACATAAATCTTTTTTTTACATTTTTACATAAATCGTTTTTTTAATCTCTATAAAACTCTCCTACCAAATGTTGGTACTCCAACTTCCGAAACAATGGCACCGCTGAGAATTTTTTATCATTATTTCTTCAAACAAATTTAAACACCTATTACAAAAACTGTTAATTTTAGGTATGTAATATTATAAATAAAAAAGTTATGGAATTTTACGCAGAATCTAATAGGTGTATTTTTTAAATTGAACAACGTAATATTATTGTATTTTGTAAAATATGTAAATAGAAGCATTATAGAATTAATTTCAAATAAAACATTTTGGCGCATAATTTACTTTAATATAGGCAACTAAAAGTACACAGAATTTAAATTATATTTGATTTTAGGCAACTATAAAAACACTTAACATGTATATATAGTTGCCTATGTAAAGAATTTTAATTTTTCATTTCAGTTTTTCACACTTTTTTAAATATTATAATTAAAATATTTCTTAATTACAAATACAGCTAACGTAATCATGTTTTTCCTTGTACTAATATTAAAAAAACTGTTTCGAAAATTTCTGTATATCTTATAATAATTTCTGTACCTTATTACTTCACTTATATTTCTCTCTGCACTTCACTAATTAAATTAAAGTTATAGAATAGATTTTAATCAAGGTTTGTTAGTGAACGTATATAATTAACTATTTCTTTGTATTTTTCTTACAGAACCAAGACGTTCCAGAAGGGTAGCGAGAAGATTTATTTATCTCAACATAGACATCAGGCATGTCCATCAGCATCTTGGATTTTAACATACTTTTCATATTGCTATTGTTATTAAAAATTAATTTGTTAATAAACAATAATTAAAAATTCATGAGCTTTATTGAACCAAAATATATTAGAAATACTGTCTAATCATGAGCTAATAGAAAGTCATTTAATTAACACAAAAATAATGTATTTTAATACTAAACAACATAACAAGTTGTTCAGGAATAGACAGTATTTTTTAATAAAAATAATACCTACCTTTATCTTCTGGCTGTTATCCTCACTCCTTGTACAAATCCATGATATTTCAACTTTTAGCAAAAACTGCATGCGAATTTTTTAGTATTATGTATACCTCTTTGCTCTTATACAGGGTGTCTCAAAAAACATGTGCCATCTCCCGCACGGAGATTCCTCATGTAAAAATAATGTTTCTTTGATATTATCAGTACATTGCGAAAAAAGAACCTAAACCAACCTAAACTAAAAATTTACATTTCCGTATTAACATACGTTACTTATATCCTTCTTATATTATTAATTTATTTTCAGAAAATCTTGTTTATTTTTCAAAGAAATATACTTGGCAACAGACAAAATGGGACTTGATCGGACTTTTAAATTTTAATATATCTGCGTCTCTCTCGCGAAATTCGACTTCTTTGTTCACTGTCGTCTCTTGTCTTATCTACTCTTTGGTGTTATCACTGGAAAAAATTTATGTACGCCACTGACTTATTTTCCTCTTGTTAGCGACATAGTGTAAGCAGTTTAATACCGATTAAAAGTTCTCTTGATATTTTGTCGATTTCGGCTTCCTTGATGAGATAAACGAAATTTTATTAATTTGCCTTGATCCAGGTCTAATAGCAACCTTTAAAAAATTTTAGTATCAATAACTTGCGAAAGTTTTAAATAAGCACGCATTGATTCCTCATCAAAAAATATGAAAAAAAGTTCCTATAAACATATGGGTATGAAAATGCATAGTTTTAGAGTTACAGGATATTAAAAAATTTTAAAATTAAGTTTTTTGTTACCTTAAATACCATTATTTTTTCATTTGAAATTACTGTAGGTTGGACTAATAGTAATAATATTTAATAATAAATTAGGTAAAATATATAATTTATTAATTTTATTAATTGTGATTGATAAAATTGTGCTTATCTCATCAAGGAGGCCGAATTCGACAAAATATCAAGAGGTAACTTTTAATTGGCATTAAACGGCACACACAATTTTGATATCAAAAGAATAAAAGCCAGTGGCGCACAAGTTTTTTTTTTGAAAAATATTACAGTGATAACCCATATGCACGTCTCTGATTAATTTATCAACACTTTTTTAGCGTTAAAATCTTATTAAAATATGTAGCACTTATAGTAACTTTTAACCTCAAAATTTCATTCGAATCACTAATTGGAAGAAAATTATAATAAATCTTATTTTTACATGAGGAATCTCCCCACGAGAGATTACACGTTTTTTAAAACACCTTGTATATATCTCCAAAAAAATATATAGGTATAGACATTTTTTACCCGTATATACCTTTAATCAACGATATTATGGTTTTATACCTACTTCCAGAGATATACATATACAGGGTTCTTCACCACATACGACACGGAGTATTGTAGCTAAACGATGAGATTTTTACAAATTGTAAGTTTTGGGTTCGATGAAGGACTATTAGAGGTACAATTTAAAAATAATTTTACAAGATACAGAGTGTCCCAAATAAGTAAAAAATATCAAAGTTGTATTTTTTTAAATGGGACACCCTGTATATTATTACATTTTTAGTTTCTACGATTAAAATAAAGGTAAATTTGATTAAGGTTTATTATACTTAAACCTTACCGTTTTTGAAATATTTTCAATTTTGTGAAATTGCAGTAAAAATTTTAAAGCTTCATTTCTCCAAGGGTATCAATGTTTTTAATACTAAATATTTAATGAAGTTTATTTATTGATCAGTTATTCTGTTGCAATAATAAAAATAATAGTACCTTATACAGAGTGTCTAAAAATTTATTTTAAATAATTATTAGTTTCAAACGGCTATAACTTGTTTAATTTAAATGGAACACCCTGTATATTTTACGAGAATCAGATGCACAATTTAATTGTCTATCAAATTATATTATACCATTTTTTACCTATCTCTTTAAGTTTCCGTAGAAAATGCATTTTCTTGTAATTTAGAACTTATTTATCAATATACCCATGGAATATTAACATTTTAGATTATTTTTAAGGATGTACCAAATTTTTAAAGAGTACAGATACTAATTTTGTCGATATAATTCGTTTATTTCATTAAAAAATAAAAAAAAACTGTTTTAATATTTGTTAAAGAGGACCAATTAATAGAGAACAACGGCATACGGTCGAGTCGGCCGCTGCTGACACGTATACGTAGACGTAAAGAATCTTTTACATGTATAAAAAATAAGAAATATCAGAAATGCGCATGCGTACGTAAACGTTTACGTGTTTGTAGGCCGACTCGACCGTATGCCGTTGTTCTCTAATATGATTCCAGTATTCAAACTACATTAACTGACTGCGTTGATTAATAATAATTGCTCCAAATACTAAAAAACTGAATTTTGTATGGGCATTAGACAGTGTGATAAAAAGTAACACCTTAAAAATGATATTTCATTGTTTAATAAATGCTTATTTATAACAACAGAGACTTTAATTTTGATAACTTATTATTATATTGATTTCTGACTCAAATCCACATTTATTTATAATAATTTATTAACGAACACAATTAAGTATGTAATTAATTAGTATATGGGCGGAAATAATGGTGTTATATGTAATTAATGGTATACTCTTTTATAAATATTTAAATAGTTTTCTTTTTGCATACAAATGGGCTAGTAATATTATCGTTTTGCTAAAAACGATAATATTACTAGCCTGTACATTTGTTGCTTTAAAAACAATCTAAAATGTCAATATTCCATGGATATATTGATATTGTATTATTTTTATTATTGCAACACAATAAATGATCAATAAATAAACTTCATTAAATATTTAGTATTAAAAACATTGATACCCTTGGAGAAATGAAGCTTTAAAATTTTTACTGCAATTTCACAAAATTGAAATTATTTCAAAAACGGTAAGGTTTAAGTATAATAAACCTTAATCAAATTTACCTTTATTTTAATCGTAGAAACTAAAAATGTAATAATATACAGGGTGTTCCATTTAAAAAATACAACTTTGATATTTTTTACTTATTTGGGACACTCTGTATCTTGTAAAATTATTTTTAAATTGTACCTCTAATAGTCCATCGAATCCAAAACTTGAAATTTGTAAAAATATAATCGTTTAGCTACAATACCCCGTGTCGTATGTGGTGAACAACCCTGTATACCGTATGATCGGAAAAAAAAAGGGCGTCCAGCTGGTATATAAATTTTCATATAAAATGACAGCGATCTTCATTTCTTAGCCATCGCGGACGCTGTTCTTTTTTCGATCATACGGTATATTTGTACTTACTATAGTTGAATGGAAGTTATAGTTGTAAGGAAGTGACATGAAAATGTATAGAAAAAAACAACGTCTTCTTGTTTTAAAGGTGTTTATATTGTTTTGAAATAATAATTCACAATAAATAAAATAGCAAACTAAAGGTAGATCAATAATAAAATTTTCAACATAAAACAAAATCTTACGTAAAAAATGTGAAGTATACAATTAAGTAAAGGGGAATAATTCCTACATTTATATATATATAAATCATATTAGCTTCGAATAATAATGTTAAAAAAATATTGTGAAAAGGGTATAATAGCATACATAAATATATCAGGTTAACAAATGTTGCAACATGTAATCATTAATTGTTTAACTATGATTATTATTATTATAAAAAATGCTAATAAAAATTTTAGCACCCACTTATATCAAAAAAACTTTAGGAATATAACCTTTCTTTTTGCTTTTTTTCGAATAATATATACAGAAGAGTGCATAGCAATCACATCAGCACACCTAAGCAGTAAAAAAAGAAGCTTAACTTAGGATTATATAATTTTTTTTAACATTTTTTCTCTTTCGTAGGACTTTTTTTCATGTTAATACTAATATATGTATATATCAGCAACTTGTAAAACTTAGTTAAAAAAAATATACCCAGGTAACAACGACAAATGACTGGAATCCCCATTTGTCATCGTCACCCTGTATATACCGTATATCTGCCAAACTACCACTTATAAAATATATTATCCATTGTATAATGTACTATTTCATAAAAAAAACACAGGTTGATAATATTAAGTCAATTAAATTAACTCATAGAGACAAATATATTTAAGTACCATCACTCTTTTTTTTTGTTGGCCTCACTGTCGACACGTGACAACACACCCTTTTGGAAACACAAAGAAAAACATTTACACAAAAATTAATTTTTTTGACCATATATTTCATCAATCTATTTGAAATGGTAAATATTTTTATTGATTTTTTTTCAAATATAGATGTGTTATTATAGCCTTGGTGTAATTTTAAACTAAGCCTACATCATATACAGGGTGTCCAGGATAAGAATGCGCTCTACAGAGTTCTGTCTCGTAAATCGTCAGAAATATAAAGATAGACAAATAGAAAAATAATTCTTTTTCTATAAGATTTTATGAAAGATTAGTAAGATAACATTCATTTTAAAGAAACAGCTGAGTATATAGAAACTAGTTTTGGCTTGGAATTGACGATAGATTATTACAAGCTAACTCTGACGCCATTTTTTTTTCGATCGTATGAACATGTTAAAAGTCATTAGATCCAAAAAGTACGGCTAATTTAGTTTCCAAAAGTCCCTAAATATATACAGTAATTGTATATTTAGGGACTTTTGAATTGCAATTGGTTTGCCCACTAGTTTTGAGTCAAAATGGTGTATATTGTTGAACTGTTTAGTTTCAAAAAATTATATTTTGACAATAAATTTTGTCTAATAAACTTGTTTAACGTAGCTTGCTAGTCAAAAGCCTTTTCAAAGAATGTATTGCTTGTAAATATAATATAAATGTACAAACTTTTAAATTTCACGTTTCTAATCGTCTCAAAATGTAGGGATAGTCTATACAAACCATCGTTTAATTTCTTACTCCCTTAATTACTCCCTCTTTTACGTGTGTGTGAAAAAAAGTTTAAATAAGTTATGAATGACATTAAGGCAATTTCAACAATACTGATGATTATTTTTAGTAAATGTAACTTCACTTATATTGGTTTGATCCTATTGAAGGATATTGATCAGTGTCAAAATTAAAAATTGCCTACGCTGTCAAATAAAATTCAAATCCCTTTGTTGAAATTTAAATTCATGAAATCGGAACGCACTCAATTAATTATTTCGGAACGTACCCGAAATTTTCTGATCTCTTATTGATTAGATAATGATGACGTTACGTTGAATGATGTTTGTACAGACTATAATAGCAGTACTATACCATATCTAGGAACTTCAAATATGTATAAATGAATTCTGTCAAATCGCTTTAACGACACTGACATTAATAAAAATCTTTTAAATTCTTTCTATTTAATAAATCTAAGGGTTTACAAGTTTGTCTTAGACTGCATTCTTATCCAGAAAACCGTATCCATTACCTATCCTTTCGTTAATAAGTTAAATCTTAACAATTATATAAAAAACTACGGTTAGGCCCGCACCGCCTTAACCGACAGATTTAAAAATTAACACAGCTCTAGAAAAAAATCTTTTTTATATATATGTATAAAATAAAATGCTACCGAAACAGTAGAGTTCGGTTTCCCGTACCGTACAACAGGTCGTAGAAAACGAGAAAATTTGGTAAAAATTGTTCTCGGACAAGTACCTGAGCGGATACTTATCGAACCTTGATAGGGTTACGGGGTTTTCAATCCGCCGGCGTGGCTTCTATGAAGGGGTTACTTGCGCCGGTCAACAGTTTGTTGTCCAGCGGCGAGTTGTCTTTTAGCAGGTCTTCCGATTCGGCGGTCACGTTATTGCTGACCACGGTGATCTCTTTGATTTCCTCGGTGGTCACGCTGGTCGGAGCGATGCCGTTCTCTTTCGGTTTTTCTACTTTGGTGGTCTTTGTTTTGGTGGCGGCGGGAGGCTTGACGTCACCTGGTTTTCGGGGTGACGTCGTTTTCGTAGTGGAGGTGGTGGTTTTGGGTGGGATAGGCCGTCTCGTCAGAGGCTGAACAGAAAAAAAAACAATTTACGTTTGAACCATTGAATATACAGGGTGTCGCAAACTGAGCGTGCATTAGAAGTTTCTAGGGAACTACAATATCTAGATCGAAGATTTTTTGCACATCATTGTTTCACAATGATATCTATCGACTAAGAATATTTTCAATATGGCGGCACTTCCGAAAATACCGGAAGTTGACAACAACTTTCTTATTTTAAATGGGTGCCCCCATTTTTATTACATACTTCAATTCTCTGTTAAATTCTATGAATATTGATGTTAAACACTCTATATCCAACATTATCCGTTTTTGAAAAAAAAATATTTAAAATTTTTGGACGAAAAAAACTACCATTCAAAAAAATGTGTATAGCCTAACAGCCCTTTCAGATGGAGCGGAGCGTCCGCAACTTCGAGCAAGTACCATGAGTTTATATGACTAATTTCACATGGGCGCATATGCTCCGTCCGACGGCTATCTTGAAAAAACACGACGGTGAAAGCGCTGTAAAAGTCAAATTTACTGATTACTACAGCCACTGTGACTGTTTAAGAGAGGTCATGTGGCTATCTACTTCAAAAATTAATTTGTTCAAATGTCTTATAATAATGGCGGTAGCTGTCATGGAATTGAGCGATTAAAAATTATCATAAATCATTTTTTTTTCAAATGGAAACCCACTTTTTACTTCACTAATGAAAAGGTTTTTCAATTCGTTACTTTTTAGCTATATATGGTCCTATAAATCGTTTTTAAATTATTTAAGATTTAGTTTGAAAACGTATATTTGTCTTGATTTTATCTATCTTCTTCTACATTCTTTGACATTAAGTGTCAAACTGTCAGACAATTTATTTCCATTTGTCAGAAAACGAATTATTTGAATTTCCTATATTATAAATACTGGCTTCTTAAGAGTTTAAAAAATGTAGTTATCAAAAAAAGATCTCGTATTTTCGCTCTTTAGTGATATCTAAACAGCGCAAAGTTGACTTGGAAATGATGAATCGATAACATACTGCTTTTTGAACAAAGTGTCACGTATTACAGGGCCAGATCTATTGTTTTACATTACTTGACGTTCAAAGTCATAGGCTACTGCAACTGGTTAAAATCAAGAAAATATACGCGATTTTTTGCGACGTTTGAAACTAAATCTTAAATAACTTAAAAACTATTTATTTTAGGTATAGGAACATGTATAGTCAAAAAGTAACGAATTTTAAAAGCCTTTTTACTAGTGAAATAAAAAAAGCGGGTTTTCATTTGAAAAAAATGATTTATGATAATTTTTTAATCTCTCAATTCCATGACAGCTGCCGTCATTATTATATGACATTCAAACAATTTAATTTTTGAAACAGATAGATCTTCTCTTTATGTCACAGTAGCTGTGGTAATCTTTAAATTTTAGTTTTTTTGGTCCAAAAATTTTAAAAATTTTTGTTTCTCAAAAACGGTTAATGTTATATAAGATATAGAGTGTTTAATATCAAAATTCATAAAATTTTACAGAGAATTTAAGTATGTAATAAAAAATTGGGGCACCTATTTAAAATAAGAAAGTTGTTGTCAACTTCCGGTATTTCCGGAAGTGCCGCCATGTTGAAAATATTTTTAATCGATAGATCTCTTTGTGAAACAATAATGTGCAAAAAATCTCCGATCTAGATATTGTAGTTTGGTAAGTTTTGTAGTCTAGAAACTTCTATTGCCTGCGATAACCTGCATACCTGCAAAAGCCTGGGATACCCTGCATACTGTGTAGTAGAACTTGGTATATAATAACACAGAAATTGCAACACCCAGTACGTTGATGAAGAGAGGGGAGTGGAAGGAGAAGGAGTGGAAGCGAGAGGTAGATAACGGGAGAGAGAGAAACTAAAATATATTTTAGGTAGATGCTTAAGTAACTATTTAAATTAACAAACAATTACAATCCCCTCCACAATTTCATCCCATTAGTAACTTAAGCTTACCTTAGTTTCAGTTTTCTTAGCTGTGGTGGTTGTTCTACTAGCCAATGAACTGCTTGTGGTCTTGGTCGTGGTAGTGGTACGAGATGCGGTAATCTTGTTCGCGCTTTCTTTGTTCTGTTTCTCTACGTCGGCACTCTTGGTGATTGTTTTACTCAGTGGTACTCTTGGTTTAGGCGGTGCGCTGGTGATTGTTCTTGGTTTGGGAGCTGTTGCTGTTTTGGGTGATAATGTAGCGGGTGCCGCCTAGAAAGAAAACGAAGTATGTATTATAAACAATAGGAATATTAAAATACTATTGCAACTAAATAGTCTGGCGACTAAAAATTGCATGTCAGCACGTAGCCAAAGTAACGATAATAAAAATTATTATATCATTTGTGCCTCATAGTCATAGTCTAAGCCCACGGCCACACAGAAAGCGTTTTTAGCGTTTTGCGTTTTTTGCGTCTCAAGCGGTTTTTGCGATTTTACCGTTCTAAGCGCTTTTTTCGGTTTGTGTCCATTAAAAACACGCAAAAGACGCGGCAGGTCTGCAGTTTCTATCAATATGTCAATTAGTAACGTCGCAAGCTCGTGGATTCCCGGCCCGTCCAACAATCAATCCTGTGAGAAAGAGATAGGCGAGATCAGCACAGTTAGCGTTGAAGAGACGAAGATAAAAGATGCTGGGATTGAATTGTGGACGGGCCGGGGCATATATTCGGAGACGAACACAAACTACTCCTAGTGCCAGTGGTGTGTAAAAATAATAATTATTATTTTATTTTATGCCATTTATTTTACGAATTTTAGTTTATATGTGTATAGTTTTTTTATGTTGTAGTGTTGTGGTTAGTACTTGTTATAATTATAATATAATATAATAAGTAATTATAATTATACAGGGTGTCTCAGATTTTAATCGGGAAAATTTAATAGACGATAGAACTTGCAAAAATAAAACAAAAAGTTCATATCAACTTGTAACATTTGAAGCTTCCTTTTCGAGATACAGGGTACCATTAGAACCCTATTATAATATTAATTACCAATTAGAATTTTTTTTTTCGCAAGAAGTAAGCAAGATAGACAAAAAAGTCAGGGGACAAAAAATTATATTTTTAATTACTAGATCCAAAAATAATATTAAACTTCTAAAAAAGCAGTGGCGTGCCTATTTTTTCCTTTAAAATAATTTAACAGTGATGCCCCACCGCCGCCCCTGGCCATTAAACTTAAATCTAATTACATCAAATTAAGTCCCATAGTAAGTATTATAAACGGGTCAAGTTATATCAAAATCGATTAAGTAGTTTTTCAAACATCTTATTTTTTTTTCTTTTTTAAGTAACTTTAACACCCTGTATCTCGAAAAAGAAGCTTTAAATCTTACAAGTTGATATGAACTTTTTGTTTTATTTTTGCAAGTTCTATCGTCTATTAAATTTTCCCGATTAAAATCTGAGACACCCTGTATAATAGAATAGTAAATATCTCTAGTTGGTAATGCAATTTTAGGACATGATTTATTAGACATTTTGGAGTGAAACTTCTTTACGCGCGCTGGGAGTAAAAATTCAAGGCCGTGACATACGAGCTAGTGAGACGGCCCTGACACACGAGTTCGTTGTGTGTTGAGTGACGCGACGTGTATTTGTGAGCAGTCCACGTGTTTATCAAAAATATTGATATTTTAATACAAATTTTGTAAAAGTGAATCAAATTATTACGCGCAAAAAAAATTGTTACACGTAAAAAACTATTTTTACGCGAATAAAACTATTTGTTACTGGTAGAAAACTATTTTTAGGCGTATACAACTATTTGTTACGTTTAAAAATATATTTGTTACACGTAAAAAACTCTTTTTTACGCGTCAAAAACTTATTTTTTCTGGCAGAAAACCTTTCTTACGAAAAAAAAATATTTTTTACGTGTAAAAACTATTTGATACACGTAAAAAAATAATTTTTACGCGTCAAAAACTTATTGTTTCTGGTAAAAAACTTTTTACCCAAAAAAAAAAATTTTTACGTGTAAAAAACTATTTGTTACACGTAAAAAATTATTTTTTTACGCGTCAAAAACTTATTATTTCTGGTAAAAAACCTTTTGTTGCGCAAAAAAAAATATTTTTTACTTGTAAAAACCAATTTGTTACACGTAAAAAACTATTTTTTACGCGTCAAAAACTTATTGTTTCTGTTAAAAAAACCTTTTTTACGCAGAAAAAAAAAACACTTTACGCATAAAAAAACTATTTTTTACGCGTAAGAAAATATTCCTTTAATTTATTACTTTTTCAACATTTCAAACTACACTTTTTCAAACATTTCCTTCAAATTTTTGAATTTAATAGAATCTTCCTAAACAGTAGATGTTCTTTATAAAAATATTTTTAGATAATACCCTAAAATGGAAAAAAAATGCATACTATTTAATTTATTTTTATTGTATTATTAAATATAACGTCCGCCTATGACGGGGTCTCATAAAAAACGCTAAAGACGCTACAGAAAACAAACTGATTTGTTTTCATTTGCGTTTTTTGCGAGACACGCCGAACGCTACACGCTTTTGGTGTGGCCACTCCTATATAATCCTGTTATTTTGTTATAGTCGCTAAAGACGCTTCACGCTAAAAACGCAAAAAACGCTTTCTGTGTGGCCGTGGGCTAAGAGCTAGCAACGTTTTCGAGAAAGTATTTTAAGAAAGCTGGCTTTTTGACATATTTTTTTTACTATGCTCTTTGGAACAGCATGCGGGCCGTCTGGCTGCTGATACACGTTGCGTTCACTACTGCGCATTGGAAGATCCTATTTTTTTTATTTAGCCCGTTAAATTCTAGTATCGAATATAAATCAAACAAAGACTTTTTTAGTTCTGGTGATACGAGAGAACGTCGGGAAAACAAGTATTTTAAGAAATCTGGCTCTTTGGTATATCTTTTACTATTGTCTCGGGAACAGCGTGCGGGCCGTCTGGCTGCCGGTAAACGTTGCGCATTCACTATTGCTCATTGAAAGATCCTATATTTTTTATTAGTCCTTTAAATTCTAGTATTGAATATAAACCGAGCGCGTCTCCATAGCTCGGCGCGAAAAGGTTTCGCCTATGAAGCGAGGAGTCGAGACCGGCTCAGGGTATAAAACTTTTTTATTTTCTTTTCGTTTATATTCTGATAGTAAAGTATTAAATATTTGTTTTTTTTTGAATCACCAGAATTATTATTATCACCAGATATACCAAAGAGCCAGATTTCTTAAAATACTTGTTTTCCCGACGTTGCTAGCTCTCGTATCACCAGAACTTAAAAAAGTCACAGAAAGAGTAAAAGCAAGAGAAATGAAAGAAAAAGACGGAAATGAGTAAAATGAAAGAGAGGAAATAAAGGTAGATAAAAATAAACTTTAAAGCAGAACTCAAGAACCTGGAAGACTCCGTCCGTAACCTGGAATAGGAATCCTCCGAACAGTCTAAAACACTTGAAGAAATTTCTTAGGACTTACGACCGAGAAAAATCAAAGATTTTCTTTAACTTCCATACAATCTACAAGGGATTGTAATCGCAAAACATTTTCCAATGCACGTCATCGGAAAAACAATCACAGGAAACAATCATCAGAAAAACAATCATCGGAAATCACAATTTTTAGTTCATCCTCAATTAAATATGGAAATAATGTGGATATTTGTCAATATTGTGAACCTATAACTTTCGATTCTTTCTCGTGATTTCTTCTTCTATTAGTGAGGAGCTCATAATTATTTCTTGTTCGTTGTTATTTATTGTCGAGAAATATTAAAAAAAAACACGCTTATCACCGCAGACAGGACTCCGGAAGCGACTGATGAGAAATTTGATTGGCAAATAGGGATGTATTAAGGTACGCGCACATTGACCAGAGCCGCACGAATCGCACTTTTTTTTCTTGTCGCGCACACTGAGCCGTACCGAACGCGCCGCATTATTCGCTATTTTGTTTCTTTTTACCCCTACTACATTGAAAGTAACACAAACAATATTATTTCTTCGGTTGATGCGGCGCGTGCGGCCCTGGTCAGTGTGCGCGTACCTTTAGGGGCCAAAATAAACAAAATAGCGAATAATGTGGCGCGTGAGGCGCGTTCGGTACGGCTCAGTGTACATCAATAAATAAATAACCCATAATAACGCTTATAATAATCTTCATAATGGACTAGTTTTTGCCAATATGTAATAAGTAAAATAAGCTATAAAACAAATGAATCAATTAATCACTAAAATATTAGATATTAAATTAAAAATAAAACGTAAAACTCTTTAAAAAATTATATAATAAATATGTTGTTTGTCAATTTTAAATTAAGATTCATCTCATAAATCCATCACAATCTGGCAGCGCTGTCGTCATCGCTTGTCGCTCAAAGTTGATCAAGTGCATCGGAAATTGTTTTGCGATTACCATAGATTGTATGATGTACATAAATACATAAAAAATTAAATCACTTCTAACAGTCACTGTCTTTAGATCACTTTGTCAGATATCTATCCTATGAGACGTACGTCGTGACTGTGAACTGAGTCGCGACCGGCGCCATCGGCAGCTGCGTTCGTGACGCGCGACGTCCCGCTCTGTGAAGTATTTTCTCGTTACCAGAGAAATCACAATTAACTGTAATCGTCACGCTTTAGCAAGTCACCGTTTATTTTCAAATCAGTCACAGGCCGTGACTGTGATTACAGAATATCAGTGACAAAGTCACAGCTACCGATATTTCACTCATCACTATTTGACACATTTGAATTTGATTTGAAATTTAGTGGATTTGTCAGTCTTTACGGAGCTTATTTTATGTTATTTATTAATATTTATTCTACTACTGATAGTTGTATAAAGGTAGTAAATCTAGATGGAAATTGTGGCAGAACTTAAATTAACAGTGACACTATCGTGATTTATCGAAAAAGACTCTAAAATACTTAGTTGTGTAGCGTGCGGTAGATCTCGGCAAAAATCGAGTGAAATAATGGAACAACTTTTCGCTAGTAAGTTACTATATAATATACATACGCGTAGTAAACCGATCATTTATGAATTTCACTTAAATTAACTAATTATATATTTTTTCTTGCATTTTTGCTTTTGTTTACTACTTGTATCTACTTGTCAAGATTAGATGTCAAAGAATTTAGATACGTCAATTTGACTTACCTGCTTCAGTAGCGTATCGGATGTTTGTGTTAATAAATAATTATTAAAACTTATCTATTTTTATTATAATAATATGTTTTTATAACAATTTTAATAACAACCAACATTTATTCACAACGTAAAATAAAAAAAATATTGAGTCTACCCCACGTCTACCCTACATCATAGTTTTACATTTTTTAAATAACATTAGAACGGCACTGATAAACCGGAATTTAAGTCGAATAAGAATATTTGAGTCCCATCGCGGTGGACCTAAGATTTTTGATATACTCCTTCCTTAGTCTTCTTATTCAAAGTTTTAAATATACACTTTAACCTAAAATTACTTACCCTAGATGTAGTAGTCGTGGTGGTCTTACTAACGGCGCTACTCAACGTCCTACTAGTAAGATTAGTCGTTCTAGGCTTGGCTGTAAGCGTAGACGTGGTGGTCTTGCTCACCGTGGTACTACTTGCTTTTGGTACCGCGGCTCTAGGTGCTGTGGCCGGCCTAGGAGGTGTCGTTGTCTTCGTTAAATTCGTTCTAGCCGAAGCTGTAGCAGGTCGCGCTGTCGTTTTGGTAGCTAGGGCTTCTGTAGCAGGTTTCCTCGCTAAAAAACCTTTGATTTTAGCAAAGTTTGGTTAAAAAAAATATTAAAATAACATACTTAGTGTTTTGGGTGCAGGTTTGACGTCTCCGTTCGTGAGAGGTTTTCGTTCGAGGGTTTTGGGCGCCGTGGTCGTTGCCGTTTTTGGTTTGGGTGATGGTCGTGTGGCGGCGATAGGAGCAGGTTTCGTGGCAGTACTAAATATAGAAAAATTATTTTAGCATACTATATCTAAACTATTATATCAAAATACCGGGCGTTTTTCAAAAGTGGCTCACTCCTATTTTTTTTTCAGACAGAAAAATGAAATTCGGTATGTTATTATATTACACAGATTCGGATTTATTGATGTATTCTATTATTTCCGTTTAAGAATATTTTTTTTATAAAATTGATAAAATTCAAAAGGTTTGTTGATAAAATTCAAATTCAAAGAAGGTGAAGATTGATTATTCATAATAATAAAAATATACTAAAACATCAGATGTATGTCTAAATTATAAAAAAATACAAATATATCAACAATCAATATACAGTATGTCCCCGGATTGTCTTTACAAGAGGAAAAGCTTTTTTATTACTGACATTTTGAGAAAAATACATTCTTCATAAAAATTTTTGCTAGTTCTAAAATGGTGAATGACGTTTATACTTTTCCAAATTAATTACATACCGTTTTAAAGAAAATTAAAAAAAAACACATAAAAATATAGTTAAAATTTTTCCTCCTTTAACAAAAAAGTCCTAAAAATCAAAACGCGTTTCTATGGTAATATAATTTCGTTTTCACCTTTTGATAGATTGATATTGATAAAATTTTAATTAACATCATATTTTTTGCTCTTTTAAAATGTTAAAGAAGCACAACATTTATTTAGTTCAATGGTATGGAAAGGGTGATAATAATTATCGGAAAATTTGATAAAAAAAATGCATAACATCCATCTATCTAGAATGAAATCTAAATTATATTACCATAGACACGACTTTTGATTTTTCGGACTTAAGCTTGATTTTCATGCATCCGTTGTCCGACGATACGTTGATACGATATTAATTTTATTGGTAGAATTTAAAGACTTTCATTGGTTAGAAAATAACGCAGTTTTTAAATTTATTGCATTTTCATGCCTCCGTTTATCGGATATACGTTGGTGTCATTTTATATTTTCGTTTCCATAACGATTTTCCTATTTTACATATATTTTTATTAAGGTTAAATTAAATTTGTCAAAAAAGTGACAAAACGTCCGTTATTGTATGAACGGGTCCGTTGACGGGCTGAAGTAAAATATTTACGGATGAAAAGTGGCGCGAAAACGCTATGACCAATCACAACACCGTCGGACCAACGTATCAACGTATAACGGATGCATGAAAATCAAGCTTTAGAAAAAAATCAACCATATTTTCATTATTTCTTTTAATTTTCTCTAAAACGGTATGGAAATTTGGAAAAGTATAAACGGGATTAACCATTTTAGAACAAGCAATGTTTTCTTATGAAGAATGCATTTTTCTCAAAATATCAGTAATAAAAAAGTTTTCCCTCTTGTTATACTGTATATAGTCAAGCACTGTAACATACGATCAAGGAATCTCAGTTTGAAAAATCCTAATTTACAACAGCAGTACAATTTTTATAAAAATCTTGGAAAGTCACGTTAAGGTTGACATAGATTTCTAAAAAATAAATGCCAGATAAAAATATTTTTAAAAAATTCTCCATTTGAGATAAAATCTCTACTTTAATAATTATAAATTAACTTAAAAATATCTGTCAAAGTTGTCATATATACTAACCCTGTTTTTGATGGAGCTTTAGACGCCAGTCCCGTCCTAGGAGCAGTACCCAAAGGTTTTGCTGTGGTTTTTGACGCCGCTGCACCAACCTTTGATGTAGCTGTAGCCGATTTACTAGGTGCTACTTTACCTGCAAACACAATCATTATTAGTCCTCCTGGTAGAGATATCCTGATTTTTTTTTATTTAATTTTATAAATAAAAATATTTAATAGACATATAAAGTCAAAACTATAATTACTTCTAGTATACTAAAAATTATATTGTTTTTCATTGACTTTATGACATTATTGAAAATTATTATATATATTTTTTAATAAAAAAAATACAAGACTGACCGATTGGTTTCTTAGAAGAAGCTGGCGTAGGTTTCTTCTCGTCTTTCTTAACTTCTGTGGGTTCTTGCGTTACTACAGGCGACACGGGCAACGGTGCCAGAAGTGGAACTTCTTTCGGAGCTTCCTGGGAAACTTCTGTCGTTTGTAGAGCTTGTACGGGTTCTTCTATGACAGGGGCGGGTTCCGAAACGGGTACTGGTTTAGGTTCCTCAACTGGCGTCTCAATCTAAAGTTTAGAGAACATTTTCAGATTATTATATTTTGAACAAAATTAGTAGAAACCTATCCTAATTATTAAAACGAACCATAGATAAAGAAAACACACCTTCTACTCCAATATACAATGTGTGATCATCAAATACGTTTAAATAAAATTATTTAAACGTATTTGGTAATCATGAAGAAAAATTTGGATATTTATCAAAAAACAGATACATAAATTTAGTAAAATCAACTGTAAAATATCATAAAATTCCTCAACAATTACATAATCTGATTAAATAGTATGGTTGACATTTTTGTACACAAAATCCAACTACTATTGTTGTTTGATCAAAAACTTACCAGAGGCACTGTAGGAACATCATCTAATATTTTACTTTCTTCAGAAGGCGTTATAACAGTCTGTTCGGCAAATTCGGGTTGAATGTGTTCAGTCTTGATTGAAATTTCGGAATTCAGCTGAAAATTCAACAGATTACAAATTTTATAATAAATATCAATATTAAATACACTAACACTAAAGTGTAACGACAAACGAGTTTATGTATTATAAGGCAAATAAAATAAAATAAAAAGACAATTATTAAACTTACATTATCAAATCCATTGGACAAAGAAAACGGTCGTGTATCCTCCTGTGGCGCTGCAGATTCAAAACCGTGAAATTGTTGCGATTCAAAAGGTCGCGAATCTTCCACCGGCGCAGCAGATTCAAAACCATAAAACTGTTGTGATGCAAAAGGCTGCGGTACGAATGACGGCTGTTGAAAACTGGGAATCGCCGGTTCCTCTGTCTGGGGCGATAAAACAGTTTCCTAAATTAAGAATAGACATAAACGTTAAATATACCGATCGGGTCATCGTAAAAAAAGCGTGGTCTTGATTTTAACAGTGATGTAGACAACTTAATGAAAAATGAAATGCATTAAAAAGAGATAAAAATTGGGTTGAAACATTTCTTCTATACGGTATTGCCGGATTTTTCATCACAATTTCAAACCGCCCAAGTAGGCGTTTACAAAAAATGCCTACATGCTTACGAACCGGCAACACTGTATGCCGCTTATTATTTTGTCTCTGTCTGTCAGGGAGTTATTTATATATATCTCTGTCGCATGCATTAAACTCCAGACCACGGAAATAATGTGTCCAGGACTGTATAATTTAATATGGTACTTTCTTTATTAGTCTTTTAAAAATTCGGTTTTATACATCTTTTTCCTCAAGTAAATTACCTTTTCAGAAACTGGCACTTCAGGTGTTGTATCAAAGGAGAATGATTCTATACCTGTAGAAGGTAGGTTTAGTTCCTGAAAAAAAGAATAACTACTTAGAGAAAGTGAAAATATTGTTTTATTGCAAAACAAAACATCAAAACAATAGTTTATTCATCTCTAACTAATTAAAGGCGAAGAGTTGTTATTAAACAATTTGGTATTTTAGAACTGTTATTTACAAATAACAGTTTGAAATCGTTGTTACTAAAAAATAACAGTTAAAAAAAGGAAATGGCGTTGATGGCGACTCATGGCTTGCGACGTGAAGTCGGGCCAAGATATTTTGGCACACAACAGTTGCTGCTGTAAAAAAATAACAGATATGAAAATAACAGTGCACTGATATCGATGCAAACCGCTATTAATTTTAAACTTGGTAGTTTATGTTGTAGAGCTGTTACTGTTGTGAATTGCGGACATTCTGATTTTAGCTGTTATTTTTATTGTTTATTGTTAATGTCAGACGATTTCAAGAAGAAATTAAGCCATAATAAAAAATGACTGTTCATAAATAACTGGCAAATTAGAGATAATAAAGAAGTCTGTGCTATCAAAAATGACTTAAGAAAATGTTGCCCGTTGTTTCTGGGTGTTTGTAAAATTTGACATTTAAAGTAGAAACAACTTTTCAAATAAGGTTTTTCGAAGTTTGGCCAGCAGACCTGTTTTTTACCCATTTATTACTTTAAATGTCAAATTTGGCACATACCCGAAGACAACAGGGTAAATTTTCTTATGTCGTTTTTAATCTAACTCAAAGCAGAAACTATCGTCCAAGTAAAATTTCACCTAAGCCAATAAGTAAATAAAAAAGTCCTATATCATGAGGATTTTATCTGTACACTGTATAAAATGTTTATTAAAAATATTTTGTTTATCCCACTAGTGGATAAAATATTAATTTAAACGCTTCATATGAGTGGATAAAACTCGATTATTGTATGGTTGTGGTTAAATTACATTTATTTGTGACTAGACAATACTTCGTTACATTAAAATTACTCACTTTGCTTTCAGTAACCTTCTCTTCTAGCTGAACCACCTGTTGTTCTTCAACCAAAGGTTCCGGCGATTTAATAGGAGATTCAATGGGTGACGAAATATCGTCGTCTTTGATGGACGATGTGATTTCCTCTTCTTGTAAATTTAAAGCGTGTTCGGGCTGTTGCAATTCGCAGGCAGGATCGGCCGAATATTCGCAAGCAGGTGCGGCGAAAGGCGCATGTTCGGTAATCGGAACGTCCGGAATCGGATGTTCTACGTTTATTTGTTCGAATTCGCTCTTAGGGTTAAATTCAGTCTCATGTGTATCACTGGGAGGTGCCTTACTGCATACATTCAAATCCTGAAAATAAAAACAGTATATTAATGTACTGGGTGTGCCTTAATGGCGTGCTAATATTAAGTGGTGGTTCTTGGATTTATTCTAATAAAAAAAAACTCATATGTCATAAACATCTTAACTTTTGAGAATCAGGGTGGTAAAATTTTCTACAGAAAAAGTTTTTTCATAAAAACTCTAATTTTATTACCGATATCTTTATGAAAATTGACACACGTCTTCTATGCATCAAAATGCCTTTTTTGATGTACAAACAATTTTATTTACTTCATCCAGTGGCGTCCATACAGATTTTATATTGAATAAATTTGAAGAAAAAATGGTATACTACTGACTTTATTTAAAATAAACATTATTTCCAAAATGTTCATTCTTTCTTAAATGATTTTCATCTCTTGATTATTTTAGTTATCTACTTTTAAAACTGTCTGTTATACTCAAGACCTAATGAAAATCTAAATTATGGAGTCCCATTTCTTACAGAACATAGTATTGTGAGGTCATTACTTTTCTACAACTACTAGAATAAAATACTTTATAAACTGACTGCTTCTGTTCCTATTATTTAGAAATAACAGTCTAATAGAACCGGAATGTTATTTACCAATATGTAATTTAGCAATAACAGTTTGCAACAGTTATTTCCAAAACATAAAAAAATATGAAAATAACCGTGCGCCGACATCGATAGCCCGCGATGTGATGGCCACGAAATTCTATTTGCAACAGCGAGAGTAACTATTGTTGTTAGAACTTGGTTGAGACAGTGTCGGATATAATTAATTATTATGCTTAATCGTAAACAGTCGACAGGTTTTGTTGAGTGGTAAGATTGCCTGTGTAACGATTTAATCAAACTTTAACTGATATTTGTGTGATTTCCAACTGTTATTTAAAAATAACAGTTTTGTCCACCTCTGCGATTTGATAGTCCTTAGCTTTGTTACTGTGGATATTCGGTGTGTTCTTGAACTATAGGTTTTGTTGACTTGTAAGATATTTTGCCTGTTTAACCATTTAATCAACTTTTAACTGATATTTTTAAATACAAATAACAGTTATTTGGAAATAACAGTTGTAAATACCAGTTCCTATAATTGCAATTTGTAATTAACAGTTCCAATAACTGATATTTGTAAATAACATTTCCAACTGTTATATAAAATTAACAGTTTTGTCCACCTCTGCGATTTGATAGTCCTTAGCTTTGTTACTGTGGATATTCGGTGTGTTCTTGAAACTATTTTCGTCACTAGAAATTTTGAATATCAAAAAGATAAAGAACCAAGGTCCAGATTTATTACATTAAGAATATATTTTATTAATCAAGTCTATCTAAAGTGACGATTTTGACATAAAACATGACAGAATAAACAATTTACTTTTAATTAAAATGACAGACAGTTGGTATTGTTACATTCTGTCCTTGGGCAAATTATTCTAATATGAATATTGATTTATATGATTAGTATGAATCTTAAGTAGCTCAAACTTACGTCAAACGCATCAAACGGCGACTTGCTTTCTTCCTGTCTAAACTCGCAAACAGGACTAGCGCGCTCGAACGGAACCGGTTCTTCCACATTGCCGAAATTTGACGGTTCTGCCTCCAGATGGAACGGCGATTTCGACTCCAACAGATCCACGGGCTCGGCAGGTTTGAGTAAATCCTCCACTTCCAAGGCTGGTTTCTGCACTTCGGGCTCCAACAAATCGGCGTTTTCTTCGAGATACGGTGCACTGGGTCGAAGGAGTTCGACTTCGTGACCGAGTTCCGGCGATTTCGTGAAGTTTTGTCTTTGTTCTTCGACTGGGGACTGGATAGGTTCGGAAAGGTCTTCAGGTGCTGTTGATTTGGATTGTTCAACCTCTGATAATTCGCTTATTTCCGAAACTTGTTCGGCCAAATCCGTTTTTTCTTGTACCGCGACGAAATCTTCGAGTAAATTGTCTGGAACAATAGATAAATATTATACATTGTGTTGCATCGCAGACCTGAACATACATTTGATACCAATTAAACTCTTAGTTACGCAATCGAGGGCGCGATTTTTAAATTCATTGTTGCCAACCATGGCAACTTATTATACTGTAAAAAATGTCAAGTTGCCACATTTATTTATTTATTTCCTGACATTGTCATTCGTTTTGACACATTAGTTTTGTATTACGAGTTTTTGGTTTAAATTAATTGTGTTGTGATATTTTAAGCTTAACAAATTTTTCTAGCAGACCTTGCAATCGAACATTGTTCTTTTTAGAACCTCTTTTAGTGCGAAGTGTACAAGATAACTCAATAACTGTAAAAAACTCATCGCAACTTTATTAGAATATTTTGAACGGGAAAGCGGTAGTTATCCTTATTTTCATGCGTGGGTCATCATCAATAAATCAGTCGTTTTCCGAGGCAGAGTGTCGGTTCTGTGAGCCGTGGTTCTTTTTTACATCGGGTAGGGAGCTAACCTGGCCCGACAACCTTCCTCCTTTTTCCGGGCTTAGGACCGGCCACACGACCACTGAGCTTCTCAGTCCACCCAGTGATCGCGCAGGCGATGAGAGTACTACGCAGAATAGCTGGAAGGACGCTTCTGGACAGGGAGAGAAATGAAAGCATAAGAAGAGCGTGCAAGGTGGAAAATGTAAATGAGTGGGTACTCAGCAGAAAGGAAGAATGGAACGACCATATCAGCAGAATGGACAACAGAAGGATAGTGAGAGTTGCACGCGACAAATCACCGGTACGTCGCAGAAGCTTAGGACGTCCACGAAAACGATGGAGCGACAACTTGTCAGTCTAACCGGTAGAGACGAGGAAAACAGGCGATTCGCCTAGTATGAAGAAGGAAGAAGAAGGAAAGCGGTAGTATACTCTGTTTTTTTTTTCTCAGGTAAGATTTCGACAGACGATGGCAGAAAAAGAGCAGATGACGTCCCATACCAATCTATTTATTTTACTAAAAAAGTTTCTAATATTTTTTAAGTTTACTATGGATGGGTTTATATATAAATCCGTCATGCGTCATCTTTTGTTGTTTTTAAGCAGTTTTATTGGTTTATTTCAAAAATGACAGATCATATTTCAACATTATTAGTTTGATGGAAAGGTGAACGACAAACAAACGCCGATGCGTGTGATCTCGTCCTTAAGATTTATGAGAGTTGTCAAACTCTTGCCAATTTATAGGTTACAATTTCGTGTCAAATTATGTCAAATAGAAATGTTAAATATTTAGCATTTTGGACTGTATTATTACGTGTGTTTCGTGTATTTTAAAATTAAGTGGAGGAAAACTCGCGGGAGAATTAATTGTTGATCCAGACCATAGTTTACAGTTAATATTCGGTGTCCAGAGACCGCCAGAGACAGTTTGCCAGAGAGATGTATTAGCTCCAAATGAAGTTTGTATACTATCTTGTATATGATACCAAAAACTGGAGTGTCTGTAAAATAGCAGCACACGATAGGTAAATAATAATCATATTGAATAATTATATTGATAAATTAACTTTGAATAAGTATATTAACAATAAATGCAGGAAGTTGCTTGAGCTTGAAAGCCGGAAATCTTTTTTATATCTTTTTTTGGTATGTGGTGTTTTTTTTTTAAATAAACCCTTGCATGTTTTGTACTGTACGTCTGTCCGTTCTGTAGCTCCGGAGTATCCGTGAGAGGGGAAACGATATTTTCTCGATGTTTTTCGTAAAAAATTAGACGACGCGTCCAATCAATAAAAATTCGACAAATTTGCAAGTAGCCAATAAAGTGAGTGGGCGGAGCGATTTGCGGTGACGCACTCGTCAAATCGACGTATAAAATATATTGCTGTTTATTTAAATGTTTTTTTGCCCGCATTCCTTTCATAGACACAGATCCAGCAGATGTACTGTATACTGTAATTGGTTTTAATAAAATAACTCGATTAGGTTTTCTCAATTTTAAACAGTTTTTTTCACAATATTTTGAAGTAATCACTCAAACTTTAAAGATATTAATTTTCTGCTATGCGTTCCAGTTGTACCAACTTAATTCTTTGTAAAATAAAATAAACTAATTTGAAAATAACTATCTATCACTGTCCAGGATCTTGTCGTTGGATAGACTATAATGGCCCTTTATGTCCCTTAAATGCTGTTAAGGAGGTGAGTTTTGTTGATGTAAATATTAAATTAATTTTTGTATCTGAAAATATTTTGATTAAAAGAAAATATGTAAAAGTGGGCAACGCTGTGCCGGTCAAGCTTAATCACGTGACTAAAAGTTCATTTGATATAAACTATAGGTAATCCCATGTAAATTTTAAAAATGATGAATAAGTTTTCCCCATTTTATTTTACAGAAAAATATATTTCAAATTTTTAGAACTCCTGAAACGAAGCAAATGTTCATTTATCAGGTGGTGGCAGCACCGTCGGAGAATGTACCAAGCCTATAGGTGATTTCAAAGCGAGTGATATATCGGTAGCTATCGGATTGACTATCGGTAATTCGACAGTTGTCGATAGATATCGATAATCGAATTGTGATAACTTATCAATAAATAAACTACATTATCTTTCATCCCTACCTGTGACTGGAGTTTTCGCGGTTTCAATCGGTTCCTGGTCGGGTTCCAACGGCGAAGCCAACTCTTTTTCATCGTCCTGTGACAGTTTATCTAGATCGGTGGTCTGGATGGCCGCCTGGTCGTTGTCGTGCGTCTGCGCACCGCCGCCCAACGGGTAGTGTTCGGGCAGATCGGAAATGGTGTCGTCCAGGAGCTTCTCCGTTTTCGATTCGCCCCTCTTCAGAAATTCGTCTAGGTCGTCGGGAAGCTGGTGGACCTTGTTGAGGTCGTCATCGAACGGGTTGGACTCGCCTTTCTCCGCGTAGAACGACATGGACATGGGGTCGTCTTGTTCCTTGTTCACGATACTGAACTCGGATTCGTTGAGGGTTTGTTCCGTGTCGTCTCCGAAATTGGCCTAAAGGAAGAAAGTAAAATAACGTAAGTACCAATTTCGTTTTTCTTCATTATATATAATTAAATTTAATAATTTATCACTAGCACTGTTGCCAACTTAGCGGTTTTCCCGCTAGATCTAGCGTTTTTTTCAGCTTAGCGGGTAAAAATCATTTAGAGCTCAAACGCACTGACGACCAGGTCGGATATATTGCGTACATAGATGAATTAGAAAATATTGTTTTCAGAAATGTTAAAATATCCGAGTTAACTAAAAAACGAAGTTCATTCATGAGCTTGTTAAATGTTCTAATATTAAATAATGCATTTAAAATATTAATGGTAATTACAGTAGGTTAATTAGTATAGTTTTCACACATTGAAGAGGAAGAAAAAAAAAAAGATTATACAGGGCAGATCAAGAAGAAACTTTAAATATGCTGATTTTATTTTTTACCATCGAAACTCGAAAAGTATAACAGTTATCATGCCAACCCTAAATAGACTAAATCATATAAAAATGTTTTGAATTTTTACTAGAATCGAATAAAAAAAAGTTTAGATATAAGTTTCCCTTTGGTCTAGTCTGTATACTAAAGTATTTTTAATACCCATTTAGAATAACACCATCCTTATTTATTATTAATAAATCAGTTGAAACAAAAAATTACCAACAAAAATGAACGTCGATTACTAATAATTTGTTAGATGTCACGTTTTTGAAGTTACGTTTCATGTTAATGTCATAACGCAAAATAAGATATAAAAATGAGATATTCTGATGAATCCAAAAAACTTATGCTTAATGTAGTAAACTATTTTCAAAACGATTTAGGATCTCGATTTAAGGCAATTCAAAAAGCGTCCGAAGCACTAAAAGTCCCAGAATGCACATTATATAATCTAGAAAAACCAAACAGAGCTACAGATTTCGAATTTAGAAGAAATATGTCTCGTTTTTTAGCAGTTTCAACAGGTTCAAAAATGGGTGACCAAAGCAACATTTCAGTTTTAATATCGCTCCTAGAGAATTCTAAAAAGCGCAAATTTAGAGAAAAAGCGTAAATTTACAGAAAAGTGTAAATTTACAAAAAAAATGTCAATTTACAGAAGTGTAAATTTACAGAAAGTGCCAATTTACAGAAAAAGTGTCAATTTACAGAAAAGTGTCAATTTAGAAGAAAAGCGTAATTTTACAGGAAGGTGTAAATTTAGAGAAAATTGTAAATTTACAAAAAGTCGCAATTTACAGAAAACTGTAAATTTACAAAAAAAGTGCAAAATTACAGAAAGTGTTAATTTACAGAAAGTGTCAATTTACAGAAAAGTATTTACAGTAAAGCTACAAATTTACAGAAAAAGTGTAAATTTAGAGAAAAAGCGTAAATTTAGAGAAAAATGTAAATTTACAGAATAGTGTCAATTTACAGAAGGTGTAAATTTACAGAAAAGTGTAGATTTAGAGAAAAAGCGTAAATCTACAGGAAGGTGTAAATTTAGAAAAAAAGTATAAATTTACAAAAATGTGTAAACTTACAAAAAAGCGTCCATTTACAGGAAAGTGTAAATTTACAGAAAGGTGTAAATTTAGAAAAAAGTATAAATTTACAGAAAAGTGCAAATTTACAGAAAAGTGTTAATTCAGAGAAAAGTGCAAATTTATAGTAAAACTGCCAATTTTCAATAACTATTAATTTTAACAAGCGTAACAAGTGTAATTAATTTATTTTAAATATTACATATTGAGACTGCAAGAAATGTTTATAGAGCCGCCTGAAAATGCTTCTTTCCATCTGTGTACTGGCGCTATTAGATCTTTATCTAATAACTCACCGACACTAACCTAAGTCGCCAGTTGATATAGTTATTTGTTTGTTTGCCGTTTTAGGAAATCCTGCCCGGTTAGCTCGTCTGATGATAGGGTATAGGCCTCGAGACAGTAATGAGAGGGTGGTTGGTTTTCCCATAAGTTATTTCTTAATTAAAGTAAGTTTCTTAAAAATACTCAATTATTTCTTAATTAAGTACACACACCGAAAAAGTCTAGGGATATTACAATTTTATCCAGCCATCATCAGTAATTTTATTATTTGCATTTCTGATATAATAATATTAAAATAAACAAATAGTTTACAGGACGTATTGGAAATAAAAATGCGAAATTTACCGAGTTTTTCAAATTTGCCTTGATTTTTATTGAACTCAAAAAAATACACACATTTTTTTTATTCTAAACTGTGAATAAAAAAAAGATAAAAACCATTTTTACTTAATAAAGGGTATGGCCTCCTCTACTGTTCATTACAGCCCTACATCGTCTCTCCATGCTCTTGATCAGGTTCTTGAGGTACAGCCTGCCACGCTACATTCACGGCCCGAACCAGATCCCTACGAGTTTCACGAGGCATACCCATTCTCAAAATTCTTCTTTGGACCGTGTCCCATACGTGCTCGATGGGGTTGAGGTCAGGAGATTGTGCCGGCCAGGGTAAGATGTTTAATTGATGAGCATTGATATATTCACTTACCACTCTGGCTGTACGAGGCCGTGTATTGTCATGCATGAGAATGAAGTTTCTCCCAAAATCATTGGCATATGGTAACACGACAGGCTCAAGAATTAAATCACGATATGTGATTCCTGTTAGAAACCTTTCAAGAAAAACGAGATCGGTTTTTCGGCCTAATTGGACTGCTCCCCAGACCATAACTGTTCCACCTTGATAAGGGTGCACTTCCTGAACATGATCCAACCGAATAAGATTTCCCGGTTCTCTCCATACCCTAAGCCTTCTCGAATCCGGATGTAATCCAAAGCGTGACTCATCCGTGAAGAGAACATTGGCCCAATGTTCATTCGACCACTGAACATGATCTTGAGCCCACAAATATTGTACCTCTCGATTTCCTCTCGTTAAGGGTTGAGCTCTCCAGGGGCGTCTGCTTCTTAAGTTGACCTCTCTTAATCTATTGCGAACAGTGTCAGGACTAACGGTTACATTATGTGTTTCCTGGAGAACTAAACTAAGCTCTGGTGCTGTAAGAGTCGGTCGGCGTCGAGCATTTAATTGTAAAAAATGATCTTGCTGAGGGGTAGTAATGCGATGTCGCCCTGTGTGCCTTTCAGCAACATCACCACTTTCACGGTAGCGTGTACTTAATCGCGATATTACACTTTGCGTTGTATTTAATGCTCTAGCTACGTCGATTTGGCGTATTCCAGCTTCGAGCATACCCATGGCCCTTAGCATTTCGTCTCTGTTAAGATGTCTACACTCCATAATGTCGTTTAATACTAAACAGAGTTATTTGAATGAATTCTGGCCAGTTATCATAAAAACATAGCCAGTACAGGTTAAATTTTTTCAATTTTCAAATTTCAATCGAAGTAGAAAGAATCGGCCTACAACTATGTGGTTGTTTATTCAAACATTTATTTTTAACTTTAATAAAATGATATCCCTAGATTTTTCCGGTGTGTGTATTTTTTAAGTTATTTCCAGTTTTTGAAGATTTTAAGACGCAAAATGTGGCCTGGTGTGTACAGTTCAAATGAAAACAATGTACTGCTAAAACTAAAACAGTGTCGAGAGTGGTCAGAAGCGAGACACTAGACAGAGACTGTTACGCGACTAAAAGCAGCGTGATCCGCAAAGTGGTTCGTCTGTATACGTAAATTTTAAATAATGCTCTGCTAAATCTGAACACCGGTGTTCGACACAAGTGGCTTCATGTGATAGTGCTCTAATTACGGATATATAGTTTGAAAACAAGTAGGTACCTTTGTGGAAAAAGCTTCGGACTGATCGAGAGGTTTAGAGGCGAATGGTGCAGCGTTGGGGCCGAAATGGAACTCTTCCGACGGCAGCACCTTGGTGGGAGTACTGCCCGGTTGAAACTCGGGAATTTCGTCTAAACTTTTGCCGTTCAAGATGTTCTCCATGATTTCGCGAGCCGGACTTTCGTGATCCTGAAATGAGATGTTTGCGTTTTTAATTTAACATTTTTTAATTTTGACAATGACCAGGCAACAAAAGAAATTGACAGATGTAAGATAATGGAACAGGTGATGACATACAGAGTAGACATAAATAAAAGTCCCCATCAAACCCTGATTTTTAGCCGACCATACCAATAGGTATGGTAGGCTATTGAGGATCGGCAAAAAAAAGTTTTTTTAATTTCACTCAAAATGAGTTATTTGGGTCATAAATGACCTAAATACAAAATATTTTCATGGTGTCTGTCTGTCTGTCCGCCTGTAACACGATAACTCAAAAACCGCTGAACCGATTTTAACCAACTTTGGCACAAAAATACTGTGGCACCCGAGAATCTGGCCATTAGTTTTTGGTGGGGGTGGGGGTTGGTAAGGGGGTATGGGAAGGGGTTAAAAATTTAAAAAAATCGTAACTCCAAAATTACAGTAGCTAGCGAAACGCGATTTTCAGAATAAGATTAGGAATAATATTTGCAACAAAATTTGTAACAACATCAAAATCAGTCAAAGTCGCAGTTTTCGAGATATTAACATATTTTTAGGGCGGCTATACGTGCCTCCCGGCGCCAATTTTTTATTATTAGAAACAGTTGAGACAAAAGTTAACTCGCAAATACGAAGTTTTGGTAAAAACTTGAATTTTTGATTAATTTATTTTGAATTAAGATCTAAAAACGAATTGCGATTTTTTTTAAATTCACCCCCGAGAAGGGATGAAATAAATAAATAAAATTAATTTTTCGAAATTTCGGAGAAACGGTTAAGGACGAGAAAAAAAAAGTTCAAACAAAAGTTGTAGAGCGTACACCATACATAAAAATGGTCCCTACACTTTTTTTTGCTCAAATCAAAATTAAAAATGTTAGATATATCAATTTTTCAGCAACTTATTTTTTTTTAAATTTCTACTATCAAAAAAAAATCGAAAAAATTATTTTATTTATTTATTTCACCCCTTATCGGGAGATACAGTGGTGGCCAAAAGTATGGAAACTTTTTACTTTTTAAAATATCACAGAAAATATTGCTATGCTTAAACTCTCAGGAATATAAATGAACAGCTTATCAGCAAATAAAAGTATTCCAAAAATTACACAGCGAAAAAAATTTGTTTAGCAGTTTTTGTAGGAGAACAATAGATTTCTTGTGGCCAAAAGTATGGAAACCATAAATAAATACATTAAAATTATTTAGTTTAAGCTGATAAACGGTACGATTTGCTTCAGATAAATATAAACATCATGCCCAAGTCTAAATATTTCTCTACGGATTTAAAAAATAAAATAGTTGAATTATACAAGAGCGGTTATAAACAAATTAAAATAAGCAAAATTTAAACATTTTAAAAGGCACCGTTTCGAAAATAATTCGTAAATTTAATAAAACAGGGAACGTTTCAACAGCTTTTAAGTCAAGAAGACCAAGAAAGTTGTGCAACAGGACAATGAAAGTAATGAAGAGAATATCAATGGGAGATCCAAGAAAAACATCCACAGACATTTCTCGAGAAATGGGTGAAGGGGGAATATCGGTGTCTGCACGCACGGTGAGAAGAAGGTTGGATGACATGGGACTTTTTGGAAGAGTTGCGGTGAAGAAACCACTAATATCAAAGAAAAATAGGATGGCCCGCTTTAAATTTGCTCAAGATCATCTCACCTGGTCTTATCAGAAATGGAATACTGTACTGTTTAGCGACGAAAGCAAGTTTCAACTGTTTGGTAGTGACGGGAGACGTTATGTCCGAAGACCAAAAGGTACACGGTACAGTCATAAGTACCAGATGCCCACAGTAAAACATGGGGGTGGGAGTATAATGGTATGGGGGTGTTTTTCTCGCTCAGGTGTTCTTGTTAAAATTGATGGGATAATGGACCGTTTTTTGTACACATATTGGAGAATAATATACTGCCTCATGCTGATGAAGAAATGCCACTCAGATGGTTGTTCTAGCAAGACAATGATCCCAAGCACAAATCTCGGTTTGTTCAAAATTGGTTAAATGAACATAATGTTCCACTAATGGATTGGCCCTCACAGTCTCCGGATCTTAACCCCATAGAAAATTTATGGGACCATTCGGATAGCAAAATTCGAAGCCATTCTATTTCGAATAAAAATGAATTATGGGAAGTGCTAAAAACTGAATGGGCGGCCATTTCCAGTAAAGATTGTACGAGATTGATCGATTCGATGCCACGAAGATGTAGAGAAATAATTAATTCAAAGGGATTCCACTAAATATTAGTAATTTTTATATTATCTTGAATTTTAATAAACATTCTTCTTAAGTTTCCATACTTTTAACCAAGAAAATATTCATAATTTTTTATATATTTTTTGATAGCTGTAATTTTTTATTTAAATGTATTAGGTTTGGTAGAAAATTATTTGTAGGTCACGATTATATAAGTCGTTTTATTTCATATTTTAATTTCTCAGCATAAATGACAAATTAAAAAAGTTTCCATACTTTTGGCCACCACTGTAAATTTAAAAAAAAATCTTTCACAATTCGGTTTTAGATCTTTCAAAGTAACATATCAAATTCAAGTTTTTACTAAAACTTCGTATTTAAAGGTCTATTTTTTTGGACATTTATAGATTTATTTTTGTTCATACTTACAATTTCATCATGAGCATGACCATTTCCGTTTGCTACGTCGCTAGGTCTGGACTTGATCTCTTTTTCGAAATCTATTTCATTAGGTACATTTATGTCTACTGCTTGTGGCCTTTTGGGAGATTGTGCTAGAACCTTTAATACAAAAAGAAAATACAAATGAAAAATTATTATTACATTTCTAGAAAACAGTAGTAAATGCAATACAATTCCATTCCATATGTTAAAGATATTCTCATCCCTTAAATCGTCAGATCTGTAGTTAACAACACTTTCTAATATTCATTGTGACAATATAACATTTATATCCTAATGATGCTGATGAAAAAATAATTTATTTTTTAGGTATATGTATTATTATACTGGTCTTGTCATTCTTAATCGGTGGTCTGTATTTTAATGAGTAAGAGAAAGATAGCCGGTTCCTACGTGCGGTAGGCATGGCTAAAGATTAGCAAATTCATGATTAGAACAGCAATTTTTTAATACCAGGTACAACCTATTTCAGTTCCAAAAAATACCTGTTCGAAGAGTCCATAATTAATTTCAAACTGTTCCAAAACGTAGATTAATGCCGTGCTTGCGTGGTGCTGTTCTCTCTGTACCCCCTGTTTCAGTTTTCAATAGTTTTCTCTTTATTATCATAATATTAAAATAATATACAGTGTGTCCCAGAAATAAGTGCAAATATTTTAAGGGGTGGTAGATCCCGACAAAAGAAACATATTTTCTCTTTATCGTTTTTTAAATAAGTCCAAAATAACGGAGTTATTTTACTTTGAAAATTTCCAAAAAAAAATGATTTTTTGCTAAACTTTTGAGAACCACTGGATATTTTCTGGATTTTCTTTCTTGTAAATTTAATCTACTACCTATGTTACCATCTTATCAAGAAATTATGTTTTTTAAATAAAAACTAAAAAAAATTCCAAAAAGTTTTTCAAAAAATTCCGAATTTTCAAAATTTTTTTTCGCGAAAAAACCTCATAGGCGTGTTTCTGGGGTTGAACTATACTACCAGTTAAAATATTTGCACTTATTTCTGGGACACCCTTTATAAATTAAAAAAATGAGTTTCCTGTTTACTTAAAAAATAATTTTTGGGAGTGTTTAAATTATGTTACTATATTTATGTACTAAAATGTATCACCCCACTTGTTTTTCTCTTTTTAGCATATACATATGTTTGAATTTTCATTAGGATATCTACCTCATTATCTTACACTCTAAAATCCACACCACCAACTGAGGATGACTAGGTTTGTATAGAAATAATGTTTTCTTTCAATTTTTACGAGAAAAAATATTGATGTAAAAAAAGGTATTTTTTTACCTCGTCGTTGATTAAAGCCCTACAGGTGGGTGATGCTACGCTACGTGTCGGTGATACAGGCACAAATTCTGCTGCGTTTGGATTCAACTGCGACATTGCGTCGTCTGAGTCCTCTACAACCTGGAACAATAAAACAAAATATTGTTAATTATTATACCTAACTATTAAAATATTTTACGAATTATTATAAATACATGTTGTTGATACTGTCTAAGCTGATTTGATTTTTTAATAGCCCAAAAAAGAGTGACGAGTTGATATGACAGTCTTTTCAGACAATAAAGATCCTAGATCACATATACTTATGTAGATATCTAAATAACTAGAAAAACTGTCGCAAACATATCAACGAAGTACTGTTATCTTATTCCTTTGTTGTACACGCGGTACTGCTCTATCTCTCTTCTCGACATTGTCATTCGTTTTGACACTTCAGTTTTATATTACATGTGTTTGGTTTAAATCAATTGTGATATTAACTAGATTAAAACTTTTTACTAACAGACTTTGCAGTCGGACATTGTTCTTTTTAGAACCTCTTTTAGTGCTTTATTAGAATATTTTGAACGGGAAAGCGGTAGTAATGGCCCTTTATGTCCCTTAAGTGCTGTTAAGGTGAGTTTTGTTGATGTAAATAATAACTGTTTATATATTTATAATTAATGTTTTTTTTACTAAAATATTTTGATTAAAAGAAAATAATATGTACAAGTGGATAACGCTATGCCGGTCAAGCTTAATCACGTGACTAAAAGTTTATTTGATATGAACTATATAAAAACGCAAAAAAAAAGTTTTGACTTTTATGACAGTTGCCAAGATTGTCTTTATCCGTGGCCTTATCTCGATATTCAATTTATACTTTTTCAACCATATAAAATTGTACTTCTTGTATAAAATAAAATTAATTAAATTAACTTAATTACTGAGACTAATACATTAATATATTTTGCCAACCAATGATTAATTCATATAAAATAAATGTTTCCAAATGAATTGTCCAATATTTTGTACAAAATTGTTCATTATGAAGTAATTTAGTACCATGTACAAATTTTCCTTCAATTTGAAAAAAAAAACAATAACAAAATACTTAATAAAAATAAAACTATACATCTCATACATTCATTCTATTTATACACACATAAAGCCTTATTATAATCGAATAACCTTGACCATAATTATTATTCAGTGGACTGTTGATATCAAAATCAAGGTATTAAAAATATATATAATTAAATTTTATGACCACTTCTAGTTGTAGTATTTATGTAATAACCCATATACGCACACGCGACCAATATTTTTTCAATATTAAAGTAAAAAAATCATTCATTTTGTTATTTTGTGGTCGTCACTCTTTTAGTTGTTTTGAATCACAGCTTATTCAGTACCAGCCATCTTTGCTTTTTTTTTAGTATCCGCGTTTTACCTGCTGCACCTACATATGTCAGTTTACGTATGTTCAATGGATCTCAGAACGTGTTAGATTTGTTACATATTATAAGATAAGCAAATACCTAATATCTGACAAAAGGCTCTAAAGCAGAAAAATATATGCGACCAAAAAATCTATGTTGTCAAGTTTAACTAGACAAAAGCAAAATTGCTCGATATGACATAGAAATTTAGTATAATTGTAGTTCATTCCAGCATACATAGTAGTTATTAGAAAATTATGAGTTTTTTTTTGTAGTTATTAGATGTATATTTATAGATGTAGTAAATTTAGTTCATTCCAGCATACATAGTAGTTATTAGATGTATATTTACTTAATTAACTGACTTCCTTCATTCTGTCTATTATAAAAGATAAAAATATTTACTGAAGATATCATCCGCTTTGAACAAGCTGGCAACGCCGCAAATTCATCATGCCTTCCAAGGCAGGCCAATCCTTACAGTTCCTTGCAGGCCAATCCAAGTTTATTTTTCACCACTCGCATATACTTTTCATCGTAAATTTAATTTAAATCTAGTAATTTACTTAAATATTGCCACTACCTCTCCCAGGCTCAATCTCTAGGTGCGCCACTGCCAGGCAGTAGACATGCGCGTAACGTTTTCCTATTGGCCAGTGCTACTCCCAATTTAATTTATGACTCTCTCTGGAAATAGTGAAAATATTGTCTTGTATTAAAACATTCACTGGCGGTGTTACTATATTGTATTTTAAAGCTTTAACTTGATTGGTGCCATATTATAATTTGTATAGACTTTTAACAAGTCGGCAGGCTGGTTATGAATAGGCTGTGTTTTGAATAAAATATAATTCTTTTTTATTTAAGTTACCTTAAACTATATCTGAATAATGAACAAAGTTTTATGATCTGGCGTGCTTTTTGAACAACTATTTGTACCAGAACAACTATTTCTATGAGAAATTACATCAGAATGTTCTTTAACTGTCTTTAAATTTAAACCCATCAAAAATATGTTTAATTGCACAATATGTATCTTACCGAATCTGGTTGCGGAGCTATATTTTCTTTGTTAGCTTGGTCCCCTTTGATATAGTTCCACTCGTCTTCTGAATCACTATCTGCTGGGTTTTCTTCTAAACCACTAGCATCGTGACCTGAAACAATATAAAACACCTTAGTTAAAGACGAAACAAAATGATTATTACGGCAAAACAGAGAAGAATTGAAAGCAAAGAATTACAAAATTATACTATGTAAATAGTTATTAATGATTTTAGAAAGAACATCCAGAAACGGTAGACAGAAGTTTTTCTCTTTCTCAATAGCAAATCTGATCGAGTTACTACGTGAATTGAAATGATTGAGAAAGGAATCCAACTGTCTATCGGTTCCGTTCCAGATTATAAAAACACTATTCAAAACAATTATCGCATATTTGAATAAAAGTAATTATTACATATTTCTAAATGAAGCACGCATTTTTCTACCTTTCTCTTGTGAGTTTTTCTTAGGATAATTAATGTAAGCACTGACACGTAATTTTTAGTCGGCCGACTATTTAGTTGCAAAAGTGAAAACAATATATTCTTATGGAGCCGATCGGCCCAATATTTGATTACACTGCGTAGCGTTAGGCTATACGCTGACAGGCAATTTTTAATCCGCCGACTATTTAGTTGCATATTTGTAACCGATATACCCTTATAGAGCTGCGCTCACATGCAATGAAATAGTCGGCCGATCGACTTCATAAGTATGTATTGTTTTCACTTTTGCAACTAAATAGTCGGCCGACTAAAAATTACAGGTCAGCGCATAGGCTTATTGTATTGAATCCGGTGTTTAACCATAGTAAATTTTTGTTATTTTTAATATAAATTTCAAATTAAGTGATTAAAAAGTACTCCCTCAATACAAAAAGAAATGAAACGAAGTTACAATTAAGGAATTAATAATAAATCAAATTCAATACAAATTTCACTGGTTTGAAATGACGCGTAGAAAATTGTGACGTCACCTATCAGTTTTTGACTGAATAGTTTAGAGGGCGCGAGCCTCTGTAGAATAATATTATGGCGTGTCTAGTTCTCTGCTACCGTATTTACACCATTTACACCATATATCTTAAAATCACGTTAGATTTTTCTATTTTTATTAAGATCGTTAAAAAATACGTTTTTATGTGGGATTATTCTTTATTACCCCAATATTAAATTTACTTTTATATTTTTTGCTACTAGAAATTAAAACTTAAATTTTTATTATATTAAAGTGGTTCGGATGTTCGAGGTTAGATTTGTATTTTGTGGATTTTGCGTTTGGCGTTAAATACTGTTTTCAATTTTGTTTTATTGTACCCTCTTTATTATTTTTGTAATGAAGGGTGTTAAAGTTTGTTTTGTGAAGGGCTGTCTAAATAACTCTGAAGGCTCTCCAGAAGAAGTTTTTATAACTGTTCCTTTGGATGAAAGCCGTCGAAGAGCCTGGTTTGAAGCGGCAAGACAACAATATGTTAGCAAAAGTACGAGATTTTGCTGTGAAGATCATTTTAACGTAAGTTCCTTAAGTTTTATTTTACAATTAATTTTATATCTACTTATTTTTATTACCGTATTACCTTTGTACCTGGTGGCAAACCGTGACACTTTTGATAGTTGACGTCAGAGATTGAAGTGTAAATTTGAAATTTTCTTAATATTGATTAATTTAAAAAAATGGGATGAAATTGAAGTAAAATAAAAAAATACGGGTGTCATAAATTTGTATGAAAATTAATAATTTGCAATAAAAAAACTATGGTTAAACTCCGGATTTCCCTTCACAGTATCCATACTATATAAAATCGTAAGTCAGGGAATTCAAAGTGTCTTGTTTTTCAAATAAATATTTTTTTTAGAAAATATGCGATAATTGTTTTGAGTAGTTTATATCGTCAACATATCGAAACCAGATTTTGGGTTTGACGACTGCGGTTCTAATGGCATTGGAAACATTGTGTAAGCAAAATAAATTAAAGACCGAAATTCATTTACTTTCAATACTAAATCATTCAAAGTAACATTATGAGAAATGTTATTGAAGACGCCACCATGTTACTTTACTTCGCTGAAGCCATTCCTGTCAATCAAAAAGACTTAATTTTTACTGGACAGGTGTTACCTCCCCACCATTATTCTACAGTTAATCTAATTTCTTATGTTGCACGTCAAAAATAAGACAGGCAAGCAGGAGAGCCAAAAAAAGAACTAGATGCGGCTAATTCGTAGGCAGCGGGAGACACGACAGAGGCGGACCTGTACTTCTTCGTCGTCCTTCTATTTCGGGACGGAGCTGCGGCTGGTAATTCCGTGACAAGATGTCTTTAGCCGCCTATTAATATCGGAGCACGAGAGATCCGACCAAAAATAGGCGTGTGGCTAAGAGACAGTCGCGAGAAGATGTATTTTGGGTGGCGAAATAAGTGGAAAAAAGGATAGTAGTTGCTTGGGGCCTTTTTTAGAAAGTTTAACGCGAAATTTACTTGCTCGTATTTCCTCCAGCACGTGCCTTAATATATGTTTTTTATTATACGTGTATTGCAGGTGGGCAAAGATTGAACGAGTATTAAAATTGAATCGTGAGATTCGATTCATTGCTTGCAATCCGGTTCGTTCAATTGAATCGTGGCCAGCACGGATCTATAAAATTTGAACGATGAGCCGTAAAAAAGAATCGTGAGAATTGAATCGGATCACAAATCACAACACGATCGTGTGTTCAAGGAGTCGTGAGAATTGAATCGGATCACAATTCGATCGTGCGTTCAGAGAGTCGTGAGAATTGATTCATTGCTTACAATACGGTTCGTTCAACTGAATCGTGGCCAGCACGAATCCATAAGATTTGAACGATGAGCCGTAAAAAAGAATCGTGAGAATTGAATCGGATCACAATGCGATCGTGGCCAGCACGCATCCATAAGATTTGAACGATGAGCCGTAAAAAAGAATCGGGAGAATTGAATCTGATCACAATGCGATCGTGGCCAGCACGCATCCATAAGATTTGAACGATGAGCCGTAAAAAAGAATCGTGAGAATTGAATCGGATCATAATGCGATCGTGGCCAGCACGCATCCATAAGATTTGAACGATGAGCCGTAAAAAAGAATCCTGAGAATTGAATCGAATCACAATGCGATCGTGGCCAGCACGCATCCATAAGATTTGAACGATGAGCCGTAAAAAAGAATCGTGAGAATTGAATCGGATCACAATGCGATCGTGGCCAGCACGCATCCATAAGATTTGAACGATGAGCCGTAAAAAAGAATCGGGAGAATTGAATCTGATCACAATGCGATCGTGGCCAGCTCCATAAAGTTTGAGAATTGAGCCGTTGCTTCGTGAGAATTGAATCGGATCACAATGAATCGTGGCCAGCACGTATCCATAAGATTTGAACGATGAGCCGTAAAAAGAATCGTGAGAATTGAATCGGATCACAAATGCGATCGTGACCAGCACGCATCCATAAGATTTGAACGATGAGCCGTAAAAAATCGTGAGAATTGAATCGGATCACAATGCGATCGTGGCCAGCACAGCACGGATCCATAAGATTTGAACGATGAGCCGTAAAAAAGAATCGTGAGAATTGAATCGGATCACAATGAATCGTGGCCAGCACGTATCCATAAGATTTGAACGATGAGTCGTAAAAAAGCATCGTGAAACTAGAATCGGATCACAATGCGATCGTGACCAGCACGCATCCATAAGATTCGAACGATGAGCCGTAAAAAAGAATCGTGAGAATTGAATCGGATCACAATGCGATCGTGGCCAGCACGCATCCATAAGATTTGAACGATGACCCGTAAAAAAGAATCGTGAGAATTGAATCGGATCACAATGCGATTGTGCGTTCAAAGGGTCGTGAGAATTGATTCATTGCTTACAATACGGTTCGTTCAATTGAATCGTGGCCAGCACGGATCCATAAGATTTGAACGATGAGCCGTAAAAAAGAATCGTGAGAATTGAATCGAACCACAATGCGATTGTTCGTTTCTACGGTGATATAGGCATAGATGCAGGCACCAATATTTAAACTTGCACAAAAGCCCTAAACAAACAACATGGGCATAAAATGCAAAGATAAAAAAGTTATTTACAAGTAAAAAACTTATTTATACTGTGCTTAGTACGGGAGTATCTGTAAGGTATTTAATTTTCACGTTAATATTTTTGGTAAAATAATATTACCGACTATTAAATGTCGGACTAAAAGACGAAATCGTGTTTTTATGCAACTCCAAATAAATATTGTTGGCCTCTGCTCAAGGTGATAAAAAAACGGCGTCAGCGATGGTTATAAAATGAAGATCGCTATCATTTTATATGTAAAATTATTTGGGAAATATCATCGATGTTCATTTCCAAGTTAACTGAACGCCATTTTTTTCGATCATGAGGTATTATATACTATTTATTATGATTATTAAATTGGAATTAAAATATGGCTCTAAAAATATTAAACTGGTATTAAGAAGTCTAAAATAAATAGTAATAATAGGTAAAATAATCAATCCAATTACGCCAGTGTCATAAAGTGTTGAAAAACACATGAAAGAACGGTATATTTCTTTTTCTGGTCCCTTAAGTAATTGTCCTACCAAATTATCGCCGGTAGTGCCAAATGAACGAATCGTAAGAGTCGATTCAATATGAGAAATTGAATCGCGTGATTCGATTCACTAAAAGGAATCGTAATGCCCATCGCTAACGTATATATTAGCAACAAATCGCAAACTACGATTGAATCGTAGCGATTTTTTCTATTTGGGAGTTTTCATTTAGGCAACCAATATTATAAGTTCAACTCATTTCTCTAATTTCAAACACCGTCTTGATTCGTTTTTGGACGCTCTGTATAACAATTGATATCTCGATAAACCTGGTACGACCTCCGCCAATCAAAACCGGCAAATTGGCGGACGCATGTGGGGTGTTGCGTTAGCCTTAATTCATTCATTTTCTAGTTTATGATGGTGAAGGCGTTTTGGGGAGGCGGCTGTGGACTTGGATTCGAAAAAAAAATAAAAGAACGTAACTAGAGCGCAGTCGGCATTGTTTCGTCGGCCTACTTAGCGTCCGATCGAAATTATAAAAA